GCCTGCTGGGCCGCCTGAGGCAGCAGCGCGAGCTGGGCTTCCTGTGCGACTGCACCGTGCTGGTGGGCGACGCGCGCTTCTCCGCGCACCGCGCCGTGCTGGCCGCGTGCAGCGTCTACTTCCACCTCTTCTACCGGGACCGGCCCCCCGGCGGCCGCGACACGGTGCGGCTCAACGGCGACATCGTCACGGCGCCCGCCTTCGGCCGCCTGCTGGACTTCATGTACGAGGGCCGCCTGGACCTGCGCAGCCTGCCCGTCGAGGACGTGCTGGCCGCCGCTAGCTACCTGCACATGTATGACATCGTCAAGGTCTGCAAGGGCAGGCTCAGGGAGAAGGACCTGGCGCGGCGCCCACGGGCCCCCGCTCCCGGGACAGAGCCGCAGGGCCAAGCACCGTGCCCCTTGCCTGCGTGGACCCCGGACCTCTCCACGGCTGCGCCGACCGCTGAGCTCCCCGCGGCAGGGGTTAAGGCTGTGCTCCCTCTGCCAGCATCGCGGCCTGCACCTGGGCAGGCACCGCGGGAGTCAGACCGGGCCCTGGACCTGTCGCTGAAGCCCGGCCCGAAGTCGGAGCCGGTGCAGACACCCTCCCGCGGCAGCCGGAGGCCGCTAGGTGCTCAGTCTCTGCTGAAGGATGAGCAGGACTCACCCTGGGAACAGGAGGAGAGCCGTGGCCTTCGGAGCCCCCGCGGCCCCCTGCATCCACCCTGTGCCCCCACAACCCAGCGCCTGCCGCTGGACTTGGAGCTGCTGTCCTGCCGCGGCGCAGCCAGCCGGGAGCTGGAGCTGGGCTCTGAGCCCGGGGCGAGCAGCGCCGAAGAGCGGGGTCCCCGAGGGCGCCTGTGCATCTGCCCGCTGTGCTGCAAGCTGTCCCCCAGCGCCCACGCCCTGCAGCAGCACCTCAGTGCACACTTCCGCGAGCGGGAGGGCACCCGGGCCCGGCTCTCGCCGGATGGCGCCGTGCCCACCTGCCCTCTGTGCAGCAAGACCTTCTCGTGCACCTACACGCTGAGGCGGCACGAGCGGACGCACTCGGGGGAGAAGCCCTACACGTGCGTGCAGTGCGGCAAGAGCTTCCAGTACTCGCACAACCTGAGCCGGCACGCCGTGGTGCACACGCGCGAGAAGCCGCACGCCTGCCGCTGGTGTGAGCGCCGCTTCACACAGTCCGGGGACCTGTACCGCCACGTGCGCAAGTTCCACTGTGGCATCGTCAAGTCCCTGCTGGTGTGACGCACCCGTTGGGCTGGGTGGGACCTGGGGATGGAGGCCGCCAGGTTTGGACACCTGGGCCTCGGGGCTCCTCCTACTACAGTAGAGTGCTGTCCTCCCTGTCTTCCGGCCAGGTTCTGGGACAGAACTTGGGCCTGGGCTTTTCAGTGTGGGTAACACAGGTGTCCCTTGTCCAGGGACTTTCTGGCGACCTCTCTGGATGCATTGGTGTCCTCTGAGCCTGGTTCCCCATAGGCAGTGACTGATAGGTCCAAAGTCATTGGCAGGGCTCTCGGAGGAAACAGGCCATGCTGGGTGGGTGAGGGTGGGAGCCCCTGCTGGGAAGGCCTGGGGTGCAGTGAGTACCTGCAGGAACTGCTGGGCACAGCTGGTGTCGTAGGGTACAGCCCTGGCAGGGACCCCAGGGCGACAGGAGGAGAGTCACTGTCACTGGGGGGTACCTCTAGAGCTTGTGGCCCTCTCCTCACCATAACTCTGAGCAGAGAAACTGGGGATCTGGAAATGGATCATCTCTGGATCCAGAAAACTGTGCCCTGAGGCCTCCAGATGTCTTCCAGTGGGTGATGGGGCAGGTGCCAGGCCAGGGTGCCTCCAAGTGTCCCTGGGTGGGGCCAGGGAGCGTGACCCCGGGGTTTCTCCCACCTGTAGGAGGTCTCTGTGGGGCCTTGGGCATTTTTGCAGCAGGAACACAAGGTTAGCAGGGACAGTGTCTTCAGGGTCCCCTTCTCCCCAGGGGCAGGGGTGGGCGCCACTGTCATGTGGGGAGGGAGACTGGCATCCCCTGGACCAGGGCCACAGCAGCCCAATTAGTCCACAGCCACTGGCCCCCAAATGGACATGCCTGCTGCATTTGAAGTCCTTTGGGTCACCCTGTTCACCAGTCTTGCCGCTGGGACCTTGACAGTTGCAACCATGGGGTGGGTAGAATAGGGGTGCCCCCAACCTCTGGGGGTAGCAGAGCTACCTGGACACCTGGCTGTTTCTGCTGGGGTTGGAAGCAGCACTGGGACAGAGTCTAGCTGAGTCCAAATCATCATCTCCTCCTTGTAACAACTGATGTTGTATTCATTTGTTTGCCAGACTCAGAATCAAATGACAGTCACCTTCTTGGTGGGGGGACAGACCACAGTCCACCTTCCTGTGGGCTCTATGCTCTCCTGGTGCCTCTGGAGACCCCAACCACTGCAGCCCTGGAGAGCTAAGGCAAGGGGACACCTGCTTCCGGCAGTCCTGGCTTCTGACCCCACCTCACCCGGAGGGACATGGCCCCACAGGACGAGTTCCGTGTTCTGGGTTTGCATGTGCATCCGGCACCCAGCAGGGCCAATGGAGCCAGCATCGGGAGAGCAGCTGCCACTAGCAGGGACACGGCTGTGTCGCTGGCCTCCCCAAAGCTTCCCCGGGGCAGGAAGCCTGCCTGAGCCATCAGCACTTGGCCCCTTGTCTTTGTGCACAGTTACTGTGATGTGAATGTAAGGGGATGATCAGTCTCAATTTTATAGCTGGTGTTCAGATAAAATACGCACACAATTAAATGTACCTGAGATGCTGCTTTGGGGCAAAGGCATGTGGAGTGAGTTGTGGAAGGAGCCTGCCGGCTGAGGCGGCCAAAAAGTGACCCTGGGAGACAGCTGCTGTGCCTGGGTTCTGCTGTGAGCCTCGCCTGCTGCTGCCTGGGCTGGCCATGGCGATGAGCGCCACCTTCTGTGTTCTCACACCGTGCACATCACGATGGCATGTAATAAAGCCCGCTGCAGGTGGAGGTGATGTGTCATCCCTGGGGATGGCAGAGCATGGAGAGTGGGAACCACTGGCTGGGGAGGAGGGCCAGCAGGGGTGGGCATTCTGGGAACTGTGCCCCACATGTGCTCCTGCAGGGCGTGGATGCAGTGGGGTGAGGTTGTTGACCAGCAGCACACCTTTGTTCCATGGGTTTGCCCCCAGCTGCTGGAGGCTGGGGAAGGGAGGCCAGGCTGTGTGAGGAAGGGCAAGGTGCAGGCTGGGATAGCAGCCTGGAGGAGGTGAGCCCTCCTGATTTCATGGTCAGTGTCCCCCTCCTGCCCTGATCTGTCCCCTCCCTTCTTACCTCCCTCTGGGAGGATCTGGGTCCCTGAAGCTACTGTGTGCCCCACACCATCCAGGCCCTCCTGAGTGGGTGGCTGAGCAGACTTGGCCCCTTGGGGTGCAATGAGCTGGCTCGCCTCTGAGCAGAGGACCAGTGGGCACTGTCCGCCCTCCCTCACCTGGCATGTAAGCAGGGGTGAGGCGTTCCTAGCCCTGTCCCTGGGCTTGACTTCCCTTCCTGGGATGCCTGGGAGGGAATGGCCCTCAGATGTTCCATCAGCTTCTGCCTCCTCAGGCTAAAGCATCCTTTCAACTCAGGGAGGCCCAGTGGATGGACCCCAGGCTCAGGGCAAGTGAGGCTGTGCTTGCCACAAGGGTTCCCAGAGGTTAAGCTGGGACAGGACCAGCTGGGCCAGTCTGTTTCTGGGCCACTTCCGGTGACCTTCCCAGGCCTGGTCCAGATGCAGATCCTTGCCCCGCAACTGCGCCTGGACGCACACCATGTCCCACAGGGAGCCTGTCATGTTCCCTCTTGGGCACATGGCTCAGCCTGGGCCTCCTAGCTGGGAGGAGGAGGAGGAGGAGGAGGCTCCTGCTGAATGGCAGCCTGGGGAGGGGCTTTCTGGGCCTGCAGCCTGGCATGGCTCTGCCAAGATGAGCTGGCACTTAGCTCACTGAAGCTGACCAGCCCCTTTCCTGGAGGGCACCCAACCTGACCCATTGGCTGGGTAAATGCATTCATGGAAGGGCCCAGAAGACCCTAGTCCCAGAATCCAGCTTCCTGCGATGAAGCTTAGGACTCAGCTGTGCTGCGGTGCTCACAGGGGGCCGAAACAGTCAGAGGCCTGGGGCCTTTGTGGGGACAGTGGCTCCGCAAGGCAGCAAGAACATAGAAAGGGTGCAGAGGTGTCCTGGAGGCTCCCCAGGCAGGTGCCCTCTCGGGACCTCCAGGCAGACCACATGGAGACAGGTGCAGGCCAGCTGCTCCCTGCACGGACACAGGGTGAGAGGCCATGCGGGCAGGTGTGGGTGGGCATGCAGCCCAGGTGCAGTGTGTGGAGGCACCTGGGGAAGGCTGCCAGATGTGAGTGATGCAAGCTGGGAGCTAGCCTCCCTCCCCCATGTCCCCAGCCTTTGGCCTTGGGGATCACTGAGCTGCCCACTGCAATATGTGCTGGTCTCACCCTTTCCCAGTACTCATAAATATTGGGAATCCTTTCCCAGCACAGGGTGTTTCTGCAGACACACCAGGGAGCCTCGGACATACACAGAGGATATGGGTGTGACCCACCTGTGTTGGGAGGGTGAACGCTAAGCGTGTTTAGCCCTCTACTCTGGTTCTCCCTAGCGACTCTGTCCCCGACCCCAGGCCCGCCTTTTCTGCACCAAACACCAGGCTTTGCATTTCAGTTAACATGGTCATCAACCACCATCACCTCTGTCACTGCTCCACACCGCCAGTGCCTCTGCCACCCCCCCCTCCTCTCCACACCACCTTCCACTTCTGCCCACACCATCCCCAAGGCACACCCACCCCGAATCTCAGGCCAGTGAGGCCCCTGGTGCTCCCTCCTCCCAGGCTGGCCTCACGCCCTCACCCTCAGCTGCTCTGCAGAGGGTCCACTCCTCTAGAGGGTCCACTCCTCTAGAGGGTCCACTCTGGAGGGTCCACCTGTCCCAGCACCTGTGCCAGGCAGGCGGGGATATCCCGGCCCTGCTCTGCCACCCTCTGGAGGTCAGTGCCTTCTGCGTCCTCCACCTTGGCTGCCTCTCTGCTGGTTGCCGCCTTGGGCCCTCCTCCAGCTTCGAACCTGCCTCAGCCCCCCACTCCTGGCTGTGGCTTGGACCCCTCATTCCCCTCCTCTGGAGCCTGAGGTTTGGGCATCCTGACTCCCAGCACCTGCCCCTCAGCCCCGGCCTGGCCCAGCAGCCTGTCTAGAGTAACCCTGGGCTCAGCAGGGTTAGCACTGGCCCAGCACACTTTCCCACCTGCTCTTGCCTGCTTCTCTGCGCTCCCACCCCCTCCTAGCTTAGAGTCTGCTGCCCCTTTCCTGCCAAACCACACCGGGGCCCAGCACCCTCTCCTCTGCACACCCCTCAGGCACAGCAGTGCAAACCTCTCCAGGACCTAAGATGGTGCTTCTGCCTCCCCCATTATGACCAGCTTAAAGCAGCCAAAGCGGACCTGTCGAGTGGAGAGGCTGCCGTGTGGACGGTCCCCGGATGACACAATTGCATAAAATGTTCATGTCACCAAGCTGTCCCAGTGCTCTACCCTTATGACCTCATCGATACGCAATCGCCTCTCCCAGCACACCCGGACTAGGGCTTCACATCTCTTTGGGGGACATAGCACCAGCTGTGAAATATACATTCTTGGTGAGGCTTTGGGGTGAAGGCACTCTCTTGGCGCTGTTGACACACATCCAGCTCAGGGGCCTAGTCTCCCATCTGTGTCCACACTCCCACGGCACAGATGCATGGACCCAGCAGTCCCAGGAGTCTGTCCTGCTGATAAACACAAGGGGGCTGTGTCCATGGCACTCATTAGAACACTGTGCGGCATACCAGAAAAGGCGGAATATGATGCCATCATAAAAATGAACATTCTCTGTGCTTGTGGATGGTGTGGGGTGATTTCCAAAAGACGTTTTTTTTTTTTTTTTTGTACCAGGAATTGAACTCAAGACCTTGCACTTGCCAGGCAGGTGCTTGTGCCTCAGAGCTACATCCCCGGCTCCCCAAAAGATATTCTTTTTTTTTTTTCCAATACCAGGGATCGAACTCACAACCTCGTGCTTGCCAGGCAGGCGCTGTGCTGCTGAGCTAAATCCCCAGCCCCTCCCCAAAAGATATTCTTAAGTGAAGGATACACAGTGTTGAAGAAAAGTGATCCTGTGTTATCTTTTCTTGATGTAGAAATAGGGGAAATTATAGCACAATAACACACATTTGCATGTGTGTACAGTACTTCCAGGAAGCTGTCTCAGAGACCCTGGCTGCATACAGGCAGGGAAGCTGTCTCAGAGACCCTGGCTGCATACAGGCAGGGAAGCTGGCGGCTGGAGGACCAGGACCAAGATGACCCTTTAAACTTCCAACCTCCAGTACCAGTCACTGGCTCCCAACTCGGAATTGGGTTGAACTTTGAAATGTCTTCCTTTACCCCGTATTTTGCCCCACTTCTCTGCTCGCGCCACGCTGTCACACGGCTGGCCAGTTCTGGGGCTTTTAATGTCCTTTCCCCATACGTATGATGTCTTCATCTTTATCCTCCGTCATTAGAGGACAGACACTGGGTGCTGGCATGGGGCTCAGTGGTAGAGCATGTGCCTTTTGTGCAGGAGGCCTTTGATCTTCTGCACAAAAGAAAGAAAGAAGATAGGCACTGACACCTCTTCTGTGGCCTGTGCCCCCGCCACCCCACCCCACCCTTGCTCCAAGGGAGCCACCATCAGCAGTTTCTTTTTGCAAAGGCAAGCAAATGTCACCCCAAAAAGGTAGCACAGCAGATACTCTATCTAGAGACGCACCATGACTATACCCACACAACACATTTCCTGGTGGGCTGGTGCCCTCCCCATCCCGGTCCCCTGCAGCCTGGCCAGGGTCAGCCCACTAGCGGGCACCACACCGCATCTCAGTGCCCTGGCAAATGGCATTTCTCTTGTGAGATTCAGTCTTGCCCTGGGCTCCTGGGCACTCATACTTCATTGGGACCAACTCTGCTCACGTCTTCTGCCAACTGGGAAGTCCACTCTGACTTTAAGAATCCACCAGCTTTTCCTCAGCATCCTTCGTGGTTTCACTTGTTTTACATTTGTGCCCTTGGCTGCTTTAGTCCGAAGTGGTGGAGAGGGAGGGCACAGCTCTGTGACATCATTCACTGCCAGGCCGACAGGGTGCACTCCTTCATACAGACCGAGGTGGCAGCCCGGGCCCTGCACTGCTTTGCTGGCATCATCTTGCACCCTGGCTGCTGGCCAGGGCTGTGGGGACAGCTACACAGGCAGGACAGCCATGCTGGTGCCTTCTGTCGTGGTTTAGACCTGGGACAGCCCCAGAGCCTCACGCATGCAGAGGTGGGGCTTTCGGAAGGGGACTGGATTGTGGGTGCTGTGTTATCAATAGATTCCCCTGCTGAAGAGTTCAGAGCCCACTTGCTGTTGGACGGAGCCCGGAGGGACCAGGAGTCACTGGGCCATGGCCGGAAGCGGTCATCTTCCTTGCAGGCTCCTCCCTTCCCTCGCTGCTTCCTGCACGCCATGGAATGAGTGGCTTTCCTCCACCCTTCCGCCATGCTGCTTCATGGAGCCAGCTGACCATGGGGGGAACTGAGCTCAGATAAACCTCTCCTGCTTTAAACTATGGCATCAGGTATTGACTCCCAGAGATGAGGAAGCCTGGAGGAAGTGGAGACCAAGGCAATGGCACAGACCAGAGCTCTGAAGGGCAGACTTCCTCCTTCCTGGCCATTCCATCCAGGCCACAAGCTTATTGGCTGGTGCCACCCACACTGGGGGTGGGTCGTCCCCTCGGTTTGCTGGCCTATATGTCAGTCCTCCACAGACACACCCAGAACTTTACTAATCTGCTTGGTGGTTCTGACTCAAATGCAGTCCACATGTCCTAATTCGTGATCCCAATCCCCGGCCTGATAAGAGCTGGGCCGGGGTAGGAAGATTGCCCAGCGGGGAC